ATTTAGTATTGAATGTGTAGAATTAGTTGAAAGACACGCCAGATGAAGCCATTGTATGGCGAAACACGTGTTGCGTTTTTGTAAAACAATTTAGTGAAAATCTCACAATAAAGTGTTTTTGGAATACGCTAGAGATTAGATTCTTTTGAAAAAAAGTTCTCGGGAACTTCATTCCACATAAACGCCATTCTCCAAATTAAAGGTAAAACCTAAAATAGCGTGGAGCCGTTAAAATATTATAAAACCGCCAGTGGCAAGTCAAAACGAAATCACAAAATTTTGTTTGAGCACTCAGCGTTTTGCATTTATAATAGATTTGAATCAGTGGAGATTTTATTCATTCGGAAAAACGTTATCTGGAGGTTTATTCCACATAAACGTAGTTATCCAAATGGAAGAGTTCTCGAACACAGAAGTTCCAGGTGTACTGGGTTGAACCTCAAAACAATAAACAGTCATTGTCCGTCGCGTATTTCTGCCAGCAATCTCTGTTGATCCAAGATTTGCCAACAGAAGTTTATTTCATCGAGAAAGAAATATATGCGAGCGTATAATTTAATCACTATAGAACTTTGCTGGAGTTTTATCCCAACATAAAACTGTTATTTTTTATACCTCGACACGCGTTTCGATCCCCTAGTGGTCATCTTCAAGAGGAAGATGTTCACGTGGTGAACGGAACACGTGTAGAGGTTAAAATAACGGTTTTGTGTTGGGATACAACTCCAGTAATATTCACCACAGAACATATTTATGAATTAGTGTTGATTTTTTTATATAACTATAATAACTTTATTCGCACTACAATATGTCAAATACAATGATGAGTACATGGTGGAAGTGAATAAGGAAATTCTGCGATAAGTGCAAGCACTTGTTTCGTGGAGAAGAATATAACATATGAGAAAAATTAAGTATAAGATATGAAATGTTAGACGTAAAAAGTAATGCCGTCCCCATACGAACGACAACTCTCAGAAGTTGAGAAACTTGTGCGAGCTAAGGACTAACGAGGTCTTACCTTTTAACGTGTGATTCCTAACTATTCATATAAACCGCTCAAAAAATACAGTCGATGAAAACCATGTTGGGCACCTGAGGGAATTGTAAAAATGATAATTTTGCATTTGTGTAATATTCAAGTAACCCAGATCATTTGGACAATGATGAACTATGTTTCAAGTAGATTATAAAAATTTATGGAATCGGCAGATGTTCATATTCGGATGTGACGAAAGTATAAAGGAAACGAAAAGGTTATGACACAGTAAACTGTGGTTATGATTACATTTTGCACTGTTGCCAATGTAACAATTATCGTAATCCGACATGCTATTGTAGATTTGATAAAATGATCACTTTCGAATAAAATACGTGGAATATTTCTAAGAATAGACGCCTCATCCAGTAATATTCCTGCAATCAGAATCTGATGGAAAAAGAGACCACCTTTAACATTTTTTCATGAGTTGTAGAATAATATACCACAGTAGGTTGGGTGAAACCCACAACTATGGAAGGGTTGCGTGCCTATCTTGAACTCGTCGTTTACGCAGACCTGAGACTGCAACTTCTGGGTCTGCTTGTAGAAAATTCAAACAAAAAATCAACCAAAGTGGGATTAATTGTTGGCACAATCATGTCGCTGGAATTTCAAACGCTACTTTTTAGAAACTTGGAACACTGTTCTGAACCAGAAAACTGTAAACACCCCAGCAACTTTTGATGCTTTATAAAGCTCAGATAAGACCATCAATGGAGCTCCTCCCCTAAGCATGCCCTGAAGCTGCTGGATTCCATCCAGAAAAAATCCATTCGCCTTATTGGAGACACGAACATTACTTTCAACCTTGATAGTCTGGAACATCGAAGAAAGGTTGGAGATTGGACACTCTTTCTTAGATACTTTCATGGGAGGTGTTTAAGTGACTTTTCACATTTGATTCCACTAAGAACAGTACATTTCAGAAATACGCGACGGACTGTGGCTGCTTATCGGTTTGAGGTTCAACTCAGTACACCTCGAACTCCACTGTTTGAGAACTCTTTTATTTGGAGAATTGCGTTGATGTGGAATTAACTTCCTGAGAAAGTGTTTCCCAATGAATTTGAACTCTAGCGATTCAAATCCAATATGAATCGCCTCTTCCGCACAGGCACCGCTCTTAGAGCGCCTTACGGAATTTTCTGTAGTGCTTGTGTCCTGTCCTCGAAAAATACTGTGTAGCAATCTTGTAAATGAATCGAAAAATTATTGTGTAATTATTTAAGATAACACTTGACTACGTTCTCGAAATTTTATTGTCATGATTTTGGAAAATTATGTATTTAACTTGTTGCACTCGGCATATTGACCCCCAAATATTACCTCAGTGTGAATATCAAAACAACTGCAGAATAATGACCTGGAAATAAACTGGAATGATCTAAAAATAAACTGAGAAATCCGCTTACAAATATTACATCTTACACGTCATTTTCAATCAACTTCTAATATTGTCAACAAACTGGACAACAATTCCTTCATGAATATTATATCGTTATTAGGTATTTTCTGACCAACTGTAACAATTTGCAAAAGTGGGAAAACATGTAAGTGGGCGGTAATCAAATTCTAATAACAAGATGCAGTGCCATACCATTAGGTGAAATTATATTATGAAATTGAATTATTTAAAATTAACTATAAAACTCAAACGGTCAAAGAAAATGACCGTGAAGTTCACTGGTAAACCCTACCTTATCAAATATTGTGGGGACGAAAATCTCAAGTTTTTTGCTGATAGATACGGCGGTTCGAATTCTATACCCCTTTTTCTGCTCTATTTTCATTCTTATTTGTCCAACCATCAAACGGCAAATCAGGGAACGAGGCAAGACACCATAGATACTTTCTTCAGTCTTTCGAAGAAAAAGGGAAAAGGGGAAAAGAAAGAAAGAGCAGAATAGATAAAACCAATGGGGATGGTTCGCAGGATAGGCCAGCTGACCGATGATATCACAAACACAATCAAAATGAAAAGTTATAGCTACGAGTGGGAAAAGTTTGCTGGTAGTTTCAGTCCTCCTTATTCAATCACTTCCATGGAAGACCACATGAATGAATATGTAAGATAGAATGAGGACAGGAGGTTAACAAATGGACTAGATAAATAAACAAACAGTTGGAGAGGATGAACGAAGATGGTTTGATTTGTCAGGTTAAAGAAAGAACTACTTGGTTAGATGAATTGAAAGAATGAAAACGGATGAAAGTGTAACTGGAACAGCAAGGAATGGACAATGGAGAATAAATAGTGGAAAGGAAAATATATGAACGTACTGAAAGATACTGCCACCTCTTGAAGAGATTGGGATCGATGGACATGAGTGATTGCCGATGGAAGGGCTTAAGCAATGAAGATGACTGGCAAGAAAAGCACGCATAAGCTCCATTAGACCCTGAAATGAAAGGAATCAATTGTTTTTTCATAAAATGGGAAGCAGGGTAGAGACAGCCTGAATCCCCATTCTCTATTAACCGGAGTGGAAAGAAATATAAGAATGAAGACATGAACCTTCTGCTGAAGCTTTAATGGCCACCTCATAACCAATGGGGACTCAGATGTGGAAACAAAATATCTGAGGGCGTGAAAAACTGCTGGTCAGGATTTGAAGTC